CTGGTTGCCAGCCAATCGCAGGGCACACGTAGACGAACAGCCATCCACGCTCACACTCATACCTAGGGACAATTTTGAGTATTCCATTAACCTGCCATGCATGTTTTTTGGAATGTGGGAGGAAACTGGTTTACTCAGAGAAAACCCTTGCAGGCACGGGGGGGCATCCAAACTCCACACAGGAAGGTCGGTGCCAGAATTGAACCTCTGCACTGCGAGGCCAACGTGCTAACCAGTAGACCACCGAGCCGCCCGGTTCTCTTAAAGAATTTAAATCCAGAGACCCATCTAATTGGCCCTTTTGGTCTGAAACAAATACGTGTGCAGTCATACCATAACTTTTTTGGTTTTATTTTTTTCAATGCGTGGTCACAACTCGCTCCAAGGGTGTCTGTGTGTATCTGAGTGTGCAGGGGCACATGAGGAAGATGAGGAGTTATTTACACTCTCATTGAAGATTAACAGGAAGAAGGGATACTTTACCCAGTGCCTGACACCTAGATCTGCAATGCAGCACGGAGGAGGTGGAAGAGGGAGGGAAAGAAGGGTGAGGGGTTGGCAAGGAGAGGAAGTGAGAGGAAGACTTTTAGGATATGGCAGAAAGATAGTAGCACTTTGTAACTATTGCGAGGTGATTAGAGGAAGCAGGGGCAAGTCCATTTAAACTGCCCCGCATCCCGAAAGAAGAAAACACTGTACTTAAAATGATGGAACATGCATTCACAAGAATATAATTTAATACCCGAAATGACACAGTAACCCCCACCATAGAAAGAGACCCTTGATGGGGGAAACAAAACTGTCAGAATGAGAAAAGGGGGCTCAGTAGAGAGCAAAGTGGCAACGAAGGTGTATACTGTGTATCAGCCTCTCAGAGCCGACACACACTGCTGAGACAGGCGTGTTGCATTATATCACTGGAGGGGGGCCATTATACGTGTGTGTGCTCGCATATCTCGATTATCATGGCCTTGGTGTGTGATAATAGCTGGATGTTAATTGCGCTTTCGATTAAAATGTACTCCTGGTAGATAATATTGCTGAGGGCGGGTGTTGTCTTATTAGCGATGCCTTCGGGGAGGTTTTGTCTTACAACTGTGCACAGTTAATGTGTTTCCTCTGTGCGCGCGCGCGTGCGCGCGTGTGTGTGCGTGTGTGCGTGCGTGTGTGCGTGCGTGTGTGCGTGCGTGTGTGCGTGTGTGTGTGTGTGTGTGTGTGTGTGTGTGTGTCCTCCATTTCATCTTCTATTTTTAGTTTACTTGCAGTCAATAGCCAAGTGAAGCAGATGTGTGTTAGATTCATTTTTAATCTGTGTGCTCCTCCAGGTTCACGATTACCTCCGCAGCAAGTTGTGCTCCCTTTATGAAAATGACTGCATCTTCGACAAGTTCGAGTGCGCCTGGAACGGCTCAGACAGGTCTGTCTTTATTGTCCGTCTGTATTTTTATATCACCATAGCCAAAGCCCATTCACTACTATTGTTTGAAAATTTCATACCATGGCACTACAAGTTGTGTATTAAGATCTGACTGACCCGACAGTATGCCTTCAACTGATTTTTTTTTTTTCTTTTTTGCTGTGACTTCGGAGGAAAATTTGAGATGCAAGCACTGTATGCTGGCATTGAACCCAACCCAAGTCATTTCATAAAAAAAGCAGCTGTTTGGGAGTTAGTGAACAATTTTTCCAAAAAGAGGCATCAAGTTGTTTGCCACTCCCAGTTGAACTTGACAGTCAAGCAAAACAAAAAAAGAGAATCACATTTGTGTATTAAAACAACCATGTAGCTTTGCTCTAAAGTCTGCTGGCTAAATGCTAACATTATTGTAAAAAATAGGCTCACAAATAACATTGGTGTCACCATGTTATAGCCCTTTAAGCAAATGATACAAATGGTGGAGCAACACATATAAACATAAAATACAACGATACTTACAGAGTTATATTATTTATCCTCCTTGAAAAATTACTAATAATATTACAGTTTACTGAGTGAATTACTTACAGTAGAAACTCTTTTTTTGCATCTGAAAGAACATACTACACTGCTGTCAGAGGCCAAGTCATGCACATTAGAAAAAAACACAATGGATTAAATCATGATATACATAAAGTATAATCCTTCACATTCTTTTCAATTATGTCATTGCTTCGGGATTTCTAATGTAAAGAACATTCTAGTGGGATTTTTCCTCATTAATAACCAATTACCAAAATGTTGTATGGGGTTTTTGGGGAGGCTGGAACAGAATAATGACATTTCTATTCATTTCAAAGAGGAGAGATGCGTGTTTTTAGTTACCAGCGTAGTTATGAAACAAGTCAAACTCTGATCTTAAGGCAACACTATTGCGAATGAATTAACCTTGCCAGGCTTACTCAATTACAGCTGGCTCAAAAATTAGCCAACCTATCAGGCGGCTGTTGGAGTGTGTTAAATGTCGCACTCCCCAAAGAGAAACTGCAAGCTACCCATGGCAGCCTATAAAGAGATTAGCTGCATTTGTTTAGTGAAACAAGAACTACATTGAAGGCTTAACTCAACGGAAAAGACCTTTTCCAGACAGTGTTTTCCAAACTTGAGCCAAGGCACATATTTAACATTGGAAAAGTCTCACAGCACACCAAGAAAAATTTCCCCGATAGCATACAATATCTACTTAAATATGGAGGTTCTTGTCTCAGTTTACTCACAAATGTACTTTGTGTGAAATCTGGGCCTGCTAAATTGAACGTAAATCTACTGCATAAAAAATGTGTTGGAAAGCAACAACCAGTGAATACACAGGTTCATTGTAGCTTTTGCTATTTAGTGGTAGAGTATATAACTGTCCTGCCTGTCATAATACATCACTGGGATAAGATACATTATTTGTAGTAAATAAAGACAAGTGGTGAACAATTAAGTAAAATTTGATCATTTCTTGTGGCACACTTGATGATTTTTTCGCAACACATGAATCCTAAATCAGCGGTTGAAAGTCACTGACCTAAAAGGAAAAAAAAAGATCTCACCCTCCCTCCCCCAATATTGAAGCTCCATCTATCCATGGAACATCAAGGTTGGACCTGATCGCAAACCATCTGCATGAAATTCATTTACATGAACCCACAGCATCATCCCCACTAACTCGATGCGGATGAGTTTTCTGACTATAACTGGGTCCCTCCACTCCTCTCGTGTGTGTAGCGTGATCATGACAGGAGCCTACAACAACTTCTTCCGCATGTTTGACCGCAACACCAAGCGTGATGTGACCTTAGAAGCGTCCCGGGAGAGCAGCAAACCCCGAGCCGTGCTCAAGCCACGCAGGGTTTGCGCCGCCGGGGGCAAGCGGCGCAAGGACGACATCAGCGTGGACAGCCTGGACTTCACCAAGAAGATCCTGCACACGGCCTGGCACCCAACGGAGAACATTATCGCCATCGCTGCCACCAACAACTTGTACATTTTCCAGGACAAACTCAACTCGGAGATGCATTCGTGAGCGCCAGTCAAGATGCACCAATGTCAGAATGTACGCAATCAAACGCTCACGGGACGAAGCCTCAAGTGACCGGATGGGCATCCTCCGTCACGTACAAACACGCTCACCTCTTCATCAACCTCGGACAAGTAGAAGGACCTTAAATCAGGTCATGATGGGATTATGGAGTCTCTTTGGAATAGGAACCTCAGACTGGAGAGATGTTTACATGTTGTTCTTGTTTTTCACTGCACTCTTGTGTATTTTTAGCCATGGACATACTGTAATCCAATTCAAACCTGTTGTGTGATGATGAATGGGGCCTTGATGTTCCCGGTCATATGTTTGATTTAATATCCTTCATTTATGTTTTTGTCCGTTCTCTGTAACGTATGACAATGACACGACGATGGTTATAATACGTCCCTCTTAATCCAAGATCTCTCCGGTTCAGGAGAGTCTCACATGGCTTCACAGGGAATCAGAAGTGCGGTTTCATGTGTGGATGCACACAATTATCTCCTCCACATGTTTGCAAATCTCACAGGTTCTGCTTCTGGTCTGTGGCTGCATTTTGCTCTACTTCAACACAAATAAAGCAAAAAAAAAAAAAAAAACAAAAACAAAAAAACTTTTTTTTTTCCCTTTTTAAATCAGCAACTAAGCAAAAATATGCTGCATGTCACAACAGATATAGCCTACTATAGACTGACTGACTGACTTGGCTGCCTTCTTAACCATTTAGACCCAGCTGTACAAAAATGCTTACAGCACGAAGAAACCACTGATGACCGAACTCTCTTTACCTTTGCGTCTGTGGATGCATGTTTACTGATGTTCGGTTCATAATGAAGCTGTACGGGATCCACCCAGTGTAAAGGAGATCCAATACAAATGTTTGGGGTGATTGTTCTACTCTAAAAGAAAAAAAGGGCCTAATGGTGTCTGTATCAACCTTCGTTTTGGACACGTATGAGAATTTTGTTTCAAATCCATCAAGTGACTGTGGACTCAATGATTTCCAAGATGATTGTCTCCAAAGCGACAGCAGAGAGATGCTCCGTTTATCTCTTCAGCCTTCCTCACTGATTACTTTGCTAATGTCAAGAATTGTTTATTTTTGGAGAACAATTTATTCTTTTATTTCACTTTTTGAATAATAAAAACAAATCCACTTTTCTCCATGTGCTGACCAAACTAATGTCAAATTTTGCATATTTTTGTGCTCATGTACGTTGATGACAAACCTGTCAAACAGGCAGGAATGAAAAATTCTGGGGAGGTTTTGGGAATAAAGATTTCGACAATTGCATCCATTGTTATAGACAGAATCCTCTGTCGCATTTATTCTCTTCTCGTGGGAGTCAGCGCGACGGCAGGCTCGGACACCACCTAGTGTTTTTACACAGTACTTCAGCAAAATATACTGTGGATATTCTTAAAATCCATGTCTCTTTATTAACCCACTCTCCATTATTAAGCACATGCAAATAATCCTAACGCAGTATTCTAAAAAATACAAAAACAACTCTCCATGTTTATCATGAATTTATCAAATTCCAATCAAGGCTACTCAATTCTTTGTAAAGCTCAGCATTTCTATGTGCAATAAATACAACACGATGAATTATTTTCTGGGTCACAGAGCAGAAAATACTGCTGATCCCAATTCAGATATAACATTTAACATTTTTGATTCCTGCACAGCAGGCTTTTAAACACAGACGTAAGAGGAAGGGAAGGCACAATAAATAATTGGAATAATTTTTGAAATGAAAAGAATCCCAGAAATGTTTTGTATGTAAAATGCAATTTAGGCACTTGAACGCAACTTGCTAATATAAACCGCCTGATAAAAGTCGCACTTCGATAGTTACTCCCCTCATTTGACTCTGCAACAAGTTGGTAACATTAAAAAAAAAAACATCTTCAAAATTATGAAAACATTGGTCACAAGACCAAATGTGACCCCAAGGTTTTGGAGGCGTCTTTTAGTGTTGACCTTTGAAAACATGACACTACTCGCAAACACAAAAGAACAATGAAAATTCACACAGAAGCTGAATCTTCCCGTTTAGAGGAATGCATGTTTTCTCAGAACAGTTTGTTACAGAAGACAAATGAATCAAGCCACACCAAGTTAGATGAGGGAATACTACGCTGTCACTTCCGTGACAGCGTCGGTTTCAACGTCAGAGGGTTGGTGTAATCGTGCGGTCAGGAAAGGGTTGAAGAAGAAGTCGAAGCCAAACTGCAGGGCGCTCTGGGCCGTGCGCCTCCAGTCGTGTTCGATCTTGTACTGTCGACGGCTGGACAGGCGGGCGTTGCCGCACGACAAGCAGTGAATGGCTTTGAGCTCGAAAACGGGCCATTTGGAGCCCAGACGTCCCTCCAGGATGGTGCTGAACTCCACCAGGCTTCCCGTGTTCAAGTGCAGCAGCACCGACTTGAACTCATTGCTGGCGCGCAGGACGATGTCCTTGGTGGCGTCTTCGTCCTCCACAAAGGTCCCGTTCTTGGTCTTCCTCTCTTGCGGCATGCCCATGGTGACTTCGAACTTGTAGCGGTCGAAGCGCTTCACGTGGCACTCGTGCTTGGCAAGTTGTTTAAGTTTACAGAGGGGGTCTTGGAGCGGCGGAGCCAGGAAAGGGTGAGGCCCCACCGGGGCGTCTTGCGTCCTGTCGCATGCAGGATACGGCTGACCATACAGACAACGCATCCAATTCCCCACCAAGACGGGAAGCAGGTTGATGACCGACTGCGCCCCGTTCTCGATGTCTGTCACTCGCACGTATTTGAAGCGGCCCGTCCAGGTGACCCTGTGGCCTTCGAGGTGGGAGCAGAGGATCTGAGTTTGGGCCATGTTGGACTCCTTCCACGCCGATGGGCCGCACATGTTGCTGTACTGCGGCCACGTGAGAGTGGAGTTGTACACCTTCATGCCTTCCGATCTGTACACGTACATCCAGCAGAAGAGCAGCACGGCGCTGAGCCACACCAGGATGAGTTTGACGATGCTGCTCCTGGACAGCGAACGAAACAACATAATGGGGTTCAGGCTGAAGCGGGTCCAAAGCCTCAGAACGACCGGCACGAAGCACACAGTCAGTGTGACGGCCATCTTGGTGATCTCCAAGGCCACGAACCACTGCAGGAGCTGGATGACAAGTATCGCGGCCAGGCCCAGGGAGAGAACGGGCAGTGCGAACAGGAAGAGGAAGTAGCCGGCGCAAGTCCGTATTAGGCCGATGGCGGTGGCGTTATTGAGGAACACCAAGCAGAGCTCGCACCACGTGAAGCAAACCAGATATGGCACCAGGCACAGATAAGTCCCCTTGAAGCCTCTCAGCTGGGCCATGCGGAACAGGAGGTAGACCAGGTGGCCGTAGAGGGCGCAGGGCACACCGATGTTCAACGCCACGATGTCACCCAGAGGCACCGAGATGAACGTTTTCCCGAAGATCTTGAGCACCCACAGGGAGTCCGGCAGTAGGTAAGCGAGGGAGCAGGCGCCCGAGAGTACTTCCGTGAGCAGGGCCTTGCGAGCGAACAACTTGGCGGAAGCGTGGAGGCTGAGGAAGGCGGTGACTGTGAAGAAGAGGGCCACCGCCGCCAGCTCGGAGCACGGGATCCACGACTTGTCGGCCACCGGAAAGGAGAACACAACGAAGACCACCGAGAGCAAGAAGTACCTGAGGTAAAAACAAGTATTTTCTCCTCAATCTTCTGGAGTAAAATGGCTGAAGATCCCAAATGAAGGATGAAGCTTTGCCGCCTGCTGAACATTTTAGACTGAAATTACAAAATGCTTTGGATGAACGAGCTTGATTCGAAAACGAATGGCTGAATCATGCCGGGGGTGGGGTTTTGTACCAAGACCGAGCGATGAATGAAAAGCGGGTTACAATTTTGAGTCCCCCCTACCCCCCTAAAAAAACAAACAAAAAAAAATTGCCCAAAACTGATTCGTGAAGAAAGAAAAGGGCATATGAAAATCAGGTTCCACTGAGTTCATAACAGAGAGAGCAGAACTAATCAAGCACTAATTCCATAATTGAAATAAGTTGTCCTTACAAATAGGGCTCCAAGTGTGTCCGTCCAAAGTTGGTCTCAGCTTGCTCCAGATCAAGACCAGGCTCAAAGTGAGCCAGCAGGTCAGTTAGGGCCCGAAAGTTCTCCCAGGCTTTGGAGTTCTGTCGGGAGTGAAAAAAAAAACATTCTTGAAAGATGTGTGCCGATTACCCTCATCACATCGCAGACAAAATAGAAAACGGTGGTCTGACCTGGAATACCCGCAGCGTACAAATAATCATGGAGAAGAAGGAGAGGTAAAAAACCAGCAAAGGAATGAGGAATATGAAGAACTCGATGGTGAGGTTGGAGATGATGAAGAAGAAAATAAGTGCATTGACGTGATGCGTGGGGATGAGGGCGCTGAGCCACTGCATGCCCGCCCGCGACGCCCAGTCGATGAGGTGCTCCTTGATCTCCAGCAGAGCGTGAAGTGGGAACTTCAGCAGCTGGTGCCAAGACAAACGGACAAGCTGAAACACCGTCGTGAAGAACCTTCCTCCCGGCGACCGTGTCACTCCTACCTTTTGGTGTAGGGGCAGCTCATCTGGATTCTTCACCACCACGTCGTCGTCATCATCTTCGTCGCTGCCCGACACCGTCGCCAAGGCGGGAGGCGGCGCAATTCCCTGGGCGTACTTTTTTGTCATCTCGACAAATTCATCCATCCCGACGTGGGTGGTGGCTACAAAGACACCATGGCACAAAATGTATCCCGGCTTAATGGTTCGTTTATAATGTTAATCATTTCACATTTAATTAGCAGAGACAAGATGATGATTGGATTTCATTCTGTGGTTTCAGCGGAGCCTGAATAGTCAGATTGGCGATGCTACTTACACTCGCTTGTCACCATCGTCTGCAGAACTCTCCTCTGTTTCTTTGCAGAGCTGTTGAGAGGGCCTTGCGAGGCTGGTTTGTCTGGAAATGTAGGAACATCGCACAAAGTATTAATGTTAACTTTTGTTTGACATTGTCAGAAAAACACTGGGTTTGAATCTCAGCCCAGAAATTAAACTGACCTCTAAAGTAGGGCTGAATGATTTAGAAAAATACTGTAACTATGATTTTGTGTCTCACAATTTTGCTACTACAATTAAAAATGGACTTATTTTGTCATGGTCCTCTTCCCAGGTATTGTTTGAACAAACACAAACGGTAAATTAATCTGTATTCCAATAAATGCCATCAGACTTATTATGAGGTTAACAGGTTAATGTGTTGTTTGTGTTTGTTAAAAAAAATACATGGGAAGAGGACCTTGAAAAAAATCAGTGCATATTAAATCACAATATTGAATTAATACAAAAGACAGGTTATTATCTATTTCAGTTAGAGTTGTTAACCTAGTAAACGTTTTAGCCTTTCAAATGTTCACTCTGACAGCTTCACAAAATTCTACCACACAAGTGTGGCGGAAACACAAAGTCAGTAAATCATAAGTCAGTTTACAACAGTAATGCAAACAAATCTGTGGCTTCCATAAACTTAACTTTTTGTGAGCAGTTGTGTACCTGACGTTGCCAGCAAGTAACCCAAGCATCATACCTTGATCTGTGTGGACGTGTTCTACGTTCTCCAGCATCTCAGAAACAGCTACCAACCTCTTCTTCTCCGGGTTCAGCTTCCAGTACATGAGCAGAGCTGCTTTACGAACTCCCCTCTCAAAACGGGTTTCCATGCACAGCTTCTTCACCTCTTCGTAGTTCTCAAGAGTAATGCCTGCAACACAGGACCCAGCGCCACAAACGTCAGCATGTTGGTAAATGAATACCGGGATGGCAGGGGACATTTTGGGTACCTTGCCTGGAGGCTAAGCATTGATGCAGAAGCTTCACAGCATCTTTGCGGCCCTGTTTAGCGGCCTGGATCAGCCAGGTGACCGCAGTGCAGTGGTTCAGTTCCTCATCTCTTTCTTGGGCCAGAGCCAGGAAGAAGCGGCCCATCTGGAGGGACACATGACACAAGGGCACTTAAACTGTCCCACGATCGGAGCCTTCTCATTTATATGGCCCTGGCACAGCAAGTCCACCATCTGGTTGACACTGACCTTAGCCTGCGCTTTAGCATCACCTGACTTTGCTTTCTCAGCCACATCCTCGAGACTGACCTCTTCCTCTGGCTCCTCTTAAAGGAGACAGAGAGAACAGTTTTACAAATAAATAAATATATGTGTGTGTGTGTGTGTGTGTGTGTGTGTGTGTGTATACACACATACGCACACGCACACACACGTATTGACTTGCATGTTTAAGTCATTAGATTTTTATCTAAAATCATCTTTCACCATTGAAATCGATGGAAACATCATTTATCCGTTCCAGCCTGGCATCGAGCTCCTTCTAGTGTATTTACACTTGTATTATAATCATGAATGTTCAAAAGTTACTTTAAACTTTGCCCATCTGCTTAATAAAAGCTTTACGAGCCCTGGAGCAGGTATATGAATATGTACATTAGACCTGTGTAAATGGAGTTTATTAAGTTATGTGAAGTTTCCAGATTGTTATTCTTTCTTCCTTTTCTCTACATGACAAATAAGGAATGAAATGGGCAATGACTATATTGAGAGGACACCTGTTTCAGGCATGGTAGAAGCTGTGGCTGATGTTTCGGCAGTGGCTGAGGAAGCAGCGTTGAGCTGCGCTCTCCCTAGCTGAGAGGGGCTTCTGACGGGCGAGCAGTGCACTGAAGCGGTCGGCTTGGGGAAAGAAGAGGAGCGGGAATAAGCACGAGGCGCAGACTGAGAGGATGCCGTCGAGTAGGTCGGCAGCAGCTTGGTCGGACGGGTTGGCATGGTGAGTTTAGGGGAAAATCTGGGCGAGGGAGGGTCTGTCCGCACAGCGGTGGCGGGAGGACTGCTGGCCGTTGGGCTGCCTGATGGTGATGTGTCCATAGCTGAAAAGAACATAAAGAAGGGAGAAACATCAAAACTTGCAGTCATAATTTTTATCAAGACATTTTTTTAACATGGAACAATTTCCAAAAGAGAGGCGGATGTGGAGTTTGCATGTTCTCCCTGTGTGTGGGGTTTTCATCAGGCTATTCCATGTGAAAATCTTGCATCGGTTAATTGAACACTCTAAATTGTCCATCGGTATGAATGTGAGTGTGAACAAGAAACCTCTAGTCCAGAGTCCAGAGTCCAGGGTGAACCACACTTCTTACCGGAAGTCACCTGGAACAAGCTTCAGCTCACAAGAGCCATAGAAAATGGATGGAAGTTCCACTTATCTCACATTCAAAGCCATATAACACACACTTGCTGGTCTTTCAAAATTTCATTTGATATTCCTGATGGGTATTATCACATTTAGTCGTTGTCTTTCCATGTGAATCGAAAAAAAACCTAACTCGAGCAACATGACAAATAGTTTTCCATTCTGTAAATGTCTCCTTCAGACTGGCCAACAGCGTTTCTGTTGTATTTATTTTGCTCTTGGCTAAGTGTCATTGCAAGTATTCCATCTAGTGTTCATTTGTCGCAGCCAAATCAGCACGCATTGCATCACAAGCGCTCTGTTCCATCTGTACAGTCTGCAATCTGTTATAGACTGGAATGCTAAATCGAGAAGGTGACATGCATCAAAGTACCTAAGTGGAACTCTGCTTTGTCCTTTAGGAAATCCCCCCCCCCCCCCTGTAATTTCACACAATTTCGCTTTAAG